CGTACCCCGAAGGGAGGAGGGAGAGAGAAAACAGCCTGAAGCAGGAGTCAGCTTGCAGAACTTGCAGTGATGTGTGCTCCTTCAGATGGCTTGGTGTTCGGGGTTGGACCCTCCCCACAAAACCACTGGTCACCAGGGTGCGTGGCCATGAGCGGGCTTTGTGCTGTAGCACTCATAAAACAATTCATAGAATCAAAGAATCCTTTAGGTTGGAAGGGACCTTTAAGATCATCAAGTCCAACCATTGAGCCATTAGGGCTCTAAAGTCCTCTGCTAAAACAGATCAGAATCTGTCAGGGCTGGAAGGGACCACAAGGATCCCCCAGTTCCAACCCCTCTGCCATGAGCAGGGACACCTCCCACTAGATCAGGCTGCCCAGAGCCTCCTCCAGCCTGGCCTTAAAGACCCCCAGGGAGGGGGCCTCAACCCCCTCCCTGGGCAACCCATCCCAGGGTCTCACCAAGACAATGCCTTCCCAAGTGAGGCACTGCGAGCCCGAAGAGAAGCCTTGAAGCTGATCACAAGAGAAAAAAAAAATCCAGAACAGTCGCCTCAAACATGAGAAAACCAAAAGCAAGGAGCCCGAAGGCTTACAGGGACTCGGAGAACACACACAGAGTACAGGAACATAAATTAATATTGAGCATTTGGTGAGCTACCACGAGCTGGTTGCACAGGGTGCGTGTCAATCGGTGACATCTGGAAGAGAGCTGCTTCTCCCAGGAGCATAGGTTAAAGATTTGAGATAAGGCATACTAGGAAATGCTCAGGAACAGCTTGTGATAAGAGGAAGACAGCTGGTGCTGCACCATGTGCAGGCTGTGGCTGCTGGGCAGCCTCACAATGTCCTAAAAAAATTTACAGTAAGGTGTTGCCAGTCTGCTTCTGGAGCCAAGAGTTAATACCAAATTGCATTAACTTTGTCAAGTGAATATAAAGACAAAGCAAAGACAAAGTAAAAGGTGACATTTCAATATTTTATTCAAGTTGGGTTTGGGTTTTTTTATCCATTTTTAGTAGTGTCAAGTACAGCATTTTGGGGGGGGTCTAGTTCCACACAAAATGGAAGACTCTCTAAAAATGTACCCATTTAGTTGCTGAAAAAAAGTGGTAATAAAACAAAAGTCCGTTTTAGGTTTAGTGGTGCAACTATAGGTTTGCAGTTACAAAGACTCTTCCCTGATTATGGCCCTGTCTTACAAACTTTCCAGTCAGTGCAAGGGAAAAGAACCACAACACAGGACAGGTAGAATTGGCTGAGTCACATCAAACCTCCTCCACAACGGACTGACACAGGGTGGACGACCTAAAGCATTCTGGAGACAGCTGTAGGTGTGAGATAACCAACAAAATAAACCATTTGTGAAATGCCTATTTAAAAAAATAAAAAGAAAAAATATTGGAAAAAAAAATTTCCCTTTTTTAGACAAGTTTGCACATTCCACTGTGAATGGAAAACTTGAGTGTCAGAACGTTTTGCTGACAGAATTAACAGTACAATAGAGTGGTGTAAGGTTTTTTACATCTCAGGTTTTATACCATGTGAACATATTCCTCGTGCAGTCAATATATTAGTGAAGGTAATCAATACCTTCCTACTTCCTATTTTGTGGCAGCAGATAGATGTGATGGGCAATAATGAGAAAAGAAAAAAAAAAAAGCTTGGAATTAGGATTTTTTTTTTTGTATGCTTTTGTCTCCACTTCTTGAACACCATTTTTAAAGCTTAGCTGTCTTTAACCAGGACTAGCAGGACTGATACTGAGCAATACTTGCATCCCAGACAGAACATTGAAAGGTACACTATATTCTGAAGGTAGCTATGCTGTATTTTCCAAGTGGGGATCACAAAATCCCTCCTTAGGCTTCAAATTCCAACCCTAGACCGAGTTTGTGACCACCTGCGTTGACGTTCTTGCCATCCAACAGAGCTGACAACGTCAGTTTGATACCTGTGAGGAGAGAGAAAAGGGAGAGAAAAACCCCAACTTCAAACTGGGAAGGAGCTTTAGGTTCAGTGTCTGTGCTGCTGCTTTAATTTATTGGGTAGCCAGGTTAATGTAATCTGGCAGCTGGCCCTGTAAGGACTGGGCATTTAAAAAAAAAAAAAATTGAAATTAATTTGCAGATACAAAATCTTTCTGAATTATGAAAGTTATAATACATCACGGTGATAGATTCTGCTTTTTATCACTCCCAGTAATTAAAGCCCTGAGTCACTTCACTGCTGCTGGTCTACTGATTAATCTAATTTTAGAGTCTGGTATTATGAAAAATTGGGACCTTGATACATACCCACCTTTCTAAACCACTTTAAAACCTTAGGTGTGAAAGGCCTGAGCCCTGTCTACTGTAATATCTCATGTCAATCTGCTTGGTGTTCTGGCAGCAGATTTATTAAGCTACATTAAAACCAATTTTACAGCAGTCAGATTGTTCTCTCCTTGGACCAAGGGACCTTGAGAGTGTCACATTTTCAAGCAAAATAAACTCAGTAATAAGTAAAGGCATTTTTAGTACTTTTAGAGGGCTCTTATCTGTGAAACACCAGACTGTAGATTTATTTTGGATGGACATAAAAGTGTGTCTGACTGGGGAGTGGATGGTGGTCTGTAATAACTCTGCTTCCAACAGACATTCAAAATTAACAGAACAGTCCCCAGCAAAATTCATCACTGGCCTCTTCCCAAGCAGAACAACACTTAAAACCAGTCACGTTTTGCCAAAAAATGAAATCTGTTCCTTCAAGATTAAAATATCACTGTATTAACTCTGAATTCTTTCTGCATAGACTTACCTGGCTTTAAAGTCTGAGTATATCCCAATCCGATCAGACTGGAGTTGTTCACTTTAGCCTTAAAGAGAAAAAAACACCACAGGGAAGTCATTTAGCATCTTTCTTCAACTCTTTGCTTGAAAACTAAGAAACATCTTTTAAGCAGGTAAAGGACTTTATGGTTTAAAGCACAAAAAATTCATCTTGCCATGACATAAATCCAAAACCTCAACGAATCTACAGTCGCTGTAGAAAACGATGGGTTTATTAACTGAGTTCATCATTTTTTTCCAGACAGAAAATTTTGCTTTGTCAAAAGCAGGGAAGGTTGCTCCACATTTCCCTCCCCAGAGCCTGTCCCAAACTTAGGGAAGCATGGAGGCAAAGCACTCACAGAGAAAGAGGCGTCTGGGTCGATCTGGTACTTGGCGGCTATTCCGAAGCGCGTGTTGCTGTTCCCCGCTGTCCAGGCCAGGTTCACGGCTGTCTCCAGCTTCTCATTCACCTTCTGGTAAATGGAGCCACCAAATTCTGTCCCATCATTCCTGGAAGGAAGACATCAGTCTGGGTTTAAACAGCACTCCGGAAGAGTCATCTTTCTCTCTTTCCAGTAAGATCTGTATTTGCAGAACATTCACTTACACCTCATTTAATATCCCTGTAACAACTAAGGCATTAGGCCAGATTGGTTATGAAGTGGGTTTTAAATGCTTATAATTCATTGATGGCTACTATATTTCAACAATCAACTGATGAAACTGAAAGAAAAAAGCCATGACAAACTAGCAGAAACAGACTAATGACGACAGCTTCCAACTTTCCCTCCTCTCTAGCTGGGAGTCTCTAGTACAGAGATTTATTCTTCTCTGCAGGTCTCTGAACTAATTCTCCTCCCAGAGAACCAAGCCTGAATGCTGCCTCCTCACCGTGCTGTGACCAGACACAGAGGCACCATATCCCAAGTGAAGACACCAATTTAATGCCCAAGCCCATCAGCTTTTGCTAACAATACCATTTACAATAGTCCTTATGGTTCATCGATGCCTCTGCACTAGAAACTTGAATAAATCTGATTTTACTTTGCAGAGAGCAGATCACAGAAGAAAAAGGAAGAGTCTTCTAAAATCCTTGGCACTCCTTGGAAACCAGCAAGCATCTGAATTGCCATTTTTGTTCATTTTCTTAAAAGAGGATAGCAATATATTACATAAAAAAGGCTTTAAACCACAGGAAGACTTCTGCAAATAAAATACTTATGGTTATTTCTAAATGATGAAATAATTGTTTCCAATTCTTAGGGGATACCAAATCTTTAGTGATTAAAACAATGGGCAGCTTAGAATATTTCCACTTTTCCCCCTCTGGCCAGATGTTCCTTAGTTCCTAAGTCTCAAAAGTAGTGGTGCCCACTGAAAAGTTCAAGCAATAGCAGCAGCTTTTTAAATGATTAGAGCAATCGTTCCAGAAAAACACTACAATACTTACTTCAGATAAGACTGAAGCTCACATATAACTGCATGTGCTTGGCTCTCAAGAAAAGGAGGGATTAAAAAGGACTGAGGAGAGCAGGTTACACAGGCAGATTTTGTGCAAGGTTCCCACACAGCTCTTCTTGACCTGCAACATTAGGGGGGGGGTGGTCTGAGCTACGCTTAAAAAACGAGGAAAGTTGTATTTAAAACTAGAAATCATCCAGCCCTACCTCCTTTTAGCTATTCCTTATCACTAAATAATAATTTTTTTTTTTTAATAGTCAAACCTCCTTTTTAATTCTAATAGTAAAACCAGCACTTTTCAGATGTAGATTTAAAACCCCACATTATCCCCCTATGAAAACACATTAAGGAAGGCAACTTGCTCGAGTCCCCAGAATGTCTGTGCCACGCCAGGAACACTGATAATTGCAGATGCTGCAATTATCAATGATCAGCTCTGCCCCAGCACCCCTGGGACACCCAGGTCAGGGATAGGAGTTCCACACACAGCCGTTGCTGGGGTTATAACAAAACCCTGACACCTTTCAGGGCTGAAACACATCAAAGACCTAGCTATGAATAACAATAAATTAGATTTCTATTTGTATGACACATTTATGCTTTTGCCTGTCAATTAGTAGAGTATGAGCACTAAACATACAAACAAGGCTTCCCCTTGAAGATGATTTATCATCCACATACAGCAACAGCAACCTACCAAACAGACCCTCAGGGATCCAAGAAACAGTACAGCAAGATCCGAGCCCCTGCTGCTCTTAGGAAGTCATTTTCTGCTGTTGCTTTAATTAAAAGTGATAATAATGGCAGCACTTTAGAGCAAAAGGCAATAATATGATGTTTTGAGCTGCTGTGGTATGACAAAGCACAGTCACTGTGCTTGAAGGAATGACTCTGAGGGGAGGGGAACCCCACGCAGTGCGATGGAAGTTTTCTGCCCACACTTTTGTGCTTTGGCAATCCTTCAAACAGACCGTCTGGGCTGTGAAGGTTCAGCTGTTCTGAGAGACAGCGTGAGCTTCCGAGGCCAGATTTCTGCACCAAGGCATGAAACAGAACAGAAAGCCTTTGAGGGAGCAGCTTGGGAAGGCAGAAGAGTTGTTCAGGCCCCAAATGGGAACAGCCCCTGATAGGTCTGCTCCATGTCAAACAGCCAGTTACCCCAGGGAATGGGAAAGGGGGTGGGGGGAATGGATTAGGGATGGCTTCATCTTGAAAAACTCTCTTCTCCAAAGGCATCAATTGCTTTTTTAAGAAGAAAAAGAGAGAGGAATTAAGTTTTTAATGTAATTTGGTCCTGGTTTTGCACTGTTAATGCATTCAGAAAGGAAAAATGCTTGTGGAAATAGGTTACTAGGAGTTATCATACTAAACCAAACCTCTAACCACATCCCTTCCAGTGCTGAAACAAACCCAGTCCATACCTCTTCCATTCATTCCCTTTTGCCTGCTCTTGTTCATCCTGATTAAATTTATCATCTACACATCAAACCAACATTTTGACACCAGCAAAATGAAGGCACTGCTTTTATTTCAACTTTCACAAAGTGCATTTTTATAACCCACTTGTTTTATTATTCTATTGATAGCTTCTAATAATCCTCATCTGTTAGATAGACACTGGATGCTTGGGTGCTCAGTGGGTTCCAGTTCCTTCCATCATGCACTTCCTCACCCACACAATTCAAAAAAAAAAGTTAATGCAGCTAAAAAGGCACCTTAAATGAAGAAATATTTTCAAATCCACCATTCCTTCTTTCACCACTGCTTAAACTCCATCCCTTTCATCATTCTAGCAAGCAGCACAATCCTTTCAAGTTCCTTTTTAACACCCATTTGGCAGTACTTACACATTAGTATGAAGCTGGAACTCATCAGTCTTATACCCAACAGCAAAGTTGCTCTGGGTTACTCTAGACTTTGCTGTCTCAAAAGTCATTTGGTAGCCAGCCAGCCACCCCTCGTAGCCAAGCACCAGGGCTCCACGTATTGAGGGACCAGCAATGTCAAAATCCATGTCACAGCCAATGTTGATGTGCTCTCTCTTGTACCCTGTCTTGACTTTAGCACTCTTCTTCCTAGAGAGGAAAGAAAGAATCTCATCTCTGCAAAGCACCCTCACAGGCAGCAGTGATTCAACCAAATCAGTTCCTTCAACTCCACCCGATGGTTTGGGAAGTTTGGTAAAGGCAGGGAAGGAATGGACACTGCAGCAGTTTTACTGGTTTGCCACAGGGAGTCAGTAGTAGCTGGCCTGGCCCAAACAATTTTTAGACAATCCTAGTGAATTGGGTAATTTACTGGGACACACATCAAGAACTCACTACTTTACTTTGTCTCCAGCTTCTTCAGATGTTCCAGAACATCTCTGCTGCCAGGGAAGAAGGCTGCTTCAGTGGCCCTGACACCCTGTTTTTTCCTCAGGACTCTTTAGGCTTAACTTCCTAAAGAAGTTGAACATTTACAGCCATTGGAAAGGCTGCCAGGTCAACACAGAAATAAACTTTCCTGAGTCTGTTGTTTCTTTTTATACTATTGGCCAGAAAAGTGTTTTTTCATGTGTCCTTTGTTCAGTTTACATCAAGGCTGCAGACCTTCACAAGGCCAGAGTTACATCTAATATTCAGCTACTCTTATATAAGATTTTTTTCTTCTCTTTTTACCTTACAAGTGTCTCCTGTCTTTGTCCAAATCTTTTACTGAACACTTTCTGGAAAAATCAGGCTAATTTAGAAGTTCAAATCAGCCTCTCACTTCAGGCAGCTACAAGAGTCTCCAAGAGCTGTATCAATGCCATATCAGACCCACAGAGAAATTGTGCTCATTATTATTATTATTTTGGACTTGGGAATTTCTTGTGTTTTCCAAAACCAGAAGTAAAGAGCAGGAGAGCCAAAAGCACTCAGAATTAGCTCATCTGCAACTTCTACAGAAGTCAGTCATGCCTTTCCCACCAGTGTCAACAGGGACAGAGACAAGCAAACACAGAGCACTCCTAAAAATGACTTTCCCTGTTGGAAGCCTTGTCACAGCCACCAAGTGGTAAGGAAGGGGGAGAAGCATCATATTCAGGCATGATGCATCCCTGTCAACCTAAACCAGGTCACACCAGGATTGACTCTCACTTCATTTATTCCAATTATAACAGTCCTCCCACAAGGGAATTGTTGTAACTCAGCCACTCCAGTGCCTGTGAAGTGCCTACAAAGTAGCTCCAGAGCTGGAACTTGTCATCCTCACACAGTTTTTTTTTCTTTTTTATTTCTTTAAGAACCCTACCAGCTAAGAAATAATTACCAACAAACCCTAGAGATTATTCTGGTTGAGAAACACAAAAATATCTAGTTACTGCAGAATTAGGAATGGACTGGAAGCAGTTGATGATGCAGGATGTGATCCAGAAGACAGAGTGAAACCTCAATGGGGAGCACAGCCCCAGCAGCCTGCAGCTCAGTGTGCTGCTCTGGGAAGCTAACGTGCAGAATATTTTGCCTCACTGGCAGCACTGCCTGCAAAAAGATAATCAGGGGAAAGAAAAAAAAAAACAAATACACCAACATCTAGACCTACAGCTGCTGCTTAATCCCTCTGGCCCACATAAAACGTGGCATCCAATCGTTGTGTCAGAAATCCTCCTCCACCACCAAGGCAGGCTGCAGGCAGCAAGAATTCAGATGATAAATTCAGCTTGGGAAGAGCCCAATTACTGTGTCAACCTATTAGAGCCATGGCCAACTGGCTCTGGGAGCTTGTTAAGCTTTGCAGGACAGCTGACTTGTTTAGCACTTTTGTTCAGACAGCAGCTCATCCTCTGACACGGCCAGAAATACACAGCAGGGGTGCAAACAAAACCTTCTCTTCACACCCCACTTCTGACTATAATTTTCACATTACTGCATTTGAAAGTTTGCTTGCTAGGATTAAAAAGGGATTGTTAATACTAAGATTAAATCAAATCTAGGTGATTTCACCAGGCCCAGGCTGATTATTCACTCTGTCAGTATCTTAGGACAGGAATAAAGAAGCAAGATGGCATTCTGGAAAAATAAACTAAAAAAATGCCTTTTTTTTGTCCCTCAAGCTTACTCACTTCTTACCCAGTGTTAGGAGAGAAGGAGGAGTCAAAGGTCAGCTTCAGGCCACGTGCAAGCTGAACAGAAAAGAAATTCACTGGTTGGATTCAGAATTAGAGACTGACATAAGTGAATTTTCAAATGGCATCTTTTAGGCCAAAACTTACCTGATCTTCAAGAGTAATCTCAGTGCCTAGTGTGTTGTCAGTGTTCCACTTTTCTGTGAACATCAACCCATATTCCACCCACTTGTATTTTGTTTCCAAACTACCACTAACTTTGCTGGTTTCTGAGTTTGCTGAACCTGAGCTTGTAAATTCCTAAAAGGAAAAAAAAAAAGAAACAAAAATGTCACAGTTATAATAACATACATATTTGCAAATAACAAATCATAATAATTTGCAAAATAACTTGCAAGGTTATATATCTGAAAAATGATAAGAGGAGGGAAAGGGATTCAACTTTTAAAAGGAAATACCCAGCAAATACAAGAACACAGAAATATTGTGGATTTCAGTGTGTTTCCAAACTCACCAGTCCATTTTCAGACTTTGTTTTCAAATCAAGTTTTATTAACCCAAAACCTAGAAGATGAGTAAAAAACATCAATTACACATGTGTTAATTTGAAAAGCATTTCTGATTGCTTAAAACTCCCTTCTAAATCACCTGTGGACTATTAAAAAAATTAATCAAGGGCACAGTTATCAAACCACATAGTTTTATGAAGCAGATGACACAGCTTGTAGTCTCTTCAGATAGCACTTGACTGACTAATCCTGCTGACCCCAGCAACATAACTGGGACCAAATTCAGTAATAATGTCTTTATTCATAAGCAAACTACTGACATGAATGATTCTATTCAGGATACAAGGAACCAGTCAGATTACAACACACGATTTTCTTTCAAAATAGACAACAGTCCTATGGGGAACAGGAAGAATTTTGTCAAAAGAATAGTGTTAGCCTCCCTTATCTAGACAGCAAGGGCAATGTGAAGCTACAAGAAAGAATCCTCTGGATTCTAATGGAAATTATTGGAATATTTATCAGAAAAAAAAAGTAATAAAATCTCTATAGTTTCAGGAATCAAACTTATTTTGGCTTTATTTACCATATCCCTTGGTGAAAACATCTCTGGCAGATTTGCCCAGATCAGCATAAGCAGGTGGAACAGCCATGATCTAAAAAAGAAAAAAAAAAAAAAAGTTAAAAAAGGGGGGAAATCAGTGTTCAGTAACTTAATTAATTGATGTAACCAAAAACTTATTCCCATTTCAGCCAGTTTTATTTTCTATCCACGACCTATCAATTAAATCCAGCCTGAAGAAAGCACCTGTAGCAAACAGTGTGATTTGATTTTGCTAATTAACCAGCAGAAGCAATTAACATGCATTTGCCACGGAGTATGAGAAACAGGCTGCAGACCAAATATATATTAAAAGAAAAAAGAAACTGTGCTTTCCCCAGAGTGAACTGTTGTTCTCTTATCAGTACAACTGCATGAAGGAACAACTTGGGGTTTTTTTGAAGCTATTTCTGGGAAACATCCCTCCTGTTACAAGAAACAAATCTGTGCATTCTGATGCAAAGCATTAGTGCCCCAAGTCAGCCACTCAGGAAATCTCACCAGGACAAGCCTCTGGTGTCAGGAGCATCTCTCTCCTAATCCAGAGCAGCAAATGGGTATCATTTAGGTTAGCAAAAAAAAAAATCAACAAGTGGTCATTCGCCTGCTTCAGTTTGCTTTGACTTTGCTACTGCTGTTAAGGGGTTAAGATGTCTCCTTAGACATTATCTTTAAGTGTTTCTCTGTTCATCAGCTGAGGAAAAAAATGAGCTTGCTGAGGAGAGAAATGAAGACTGAAGGGATGCTGGGCTGTGAAGTCAGGCAGTCAGGGGCAGCCAGGTAGCCACAGCCCTGTGTCAGCAGCCAGAGGCAGAGTGGAGCTCTTGGCAAAGCCTGGAGGAAGGCAGCAGCCTAGGGGTGTGGACACCACAGAGCCACCTCTCTCCATCATGTTTTCTTCAGGAGGGACAGCCACAGTGCCACGTGGGATCTCATCTGCCCATCCTCAGAGAGCCCTGACCAGCCTTAGTTCAGGGGCCTCCCACAAGAAATTTTCTGGCATTCCTTTTTCTCTGCCACTGTGAAAACTGTGTCATAGTTTATGGAGGAGAAAATGGGATCCTGAGAGGAGCAAACCAACCACATCTACTTCCTTATCCATGAGCAGTAAATTGCTCTAGGGAAGCAAAGTCCAACAATCTGAAGTGGTGTATGCTGCCTTTATAGACAAGACTTCATCATTTTAAACAAAGCAAAGGAGATAAATCATACTTATCAAGCAGGTCCTCACAATAACAGATGTTGCACTGAAGTTCCATATTATTAAACTTTTCAGTTATGCAAAAGTAATAAGCAGCTTATTACATAAGCCTGCAAATGCTTTAAAAAAAAAAACAAAAATCACCTGGCAATCCTTACTCTGGACTCTCCAACGTTAGCAAAAGCCTCTTCCTTCAAACAGCAAACAAAACACAGCTCTGAAGGTGAGGGGGGCACCTCAGAGCCCTTCTGGCTGGAGACTCCAGCAGCACCAGGCAGGGAGTCTCAGCAGCCACTCAACGCCTCCAGCACTCCACCCAACAAGCTGCTGCCTGTTCAAGCAGGATATTGCTGTTGCATAAATGAAGAATCCCTGTCCTAGAGGGAACAAAACAGACCTGGTGGCTAAATAAAAGACAACAGTGTTCTCAGAAGATCGATAAGATAGGACACAAGGGCACATGTGATGATGTAGCTTCAGTTGCACAGAGCACCTGGATGTATGTCATCTCATTCCAGTTATAGTTCAGTAATAAGATACAGCCTCAAACACATAAGCAGCTAAACAGTTGAGGTAAAAAAACAAAAAGGGAAAATAAAATGAAAAGCATTCCATATTCCAAAGCAGTTTTAGCTGCTTTTATTAGACCTAAATGCCTCTCTTCATTTTTAGTGCAAATGAGAAAGCAGGGATTTAATGTTTATACACAAAACCAGCCTTTAAATAAAAAAGAAAACTTTTTTTAAAGGGAAGAAAGAAAAAACACACACACAAAAAAAAAGTATTAACAGATTTAAGTAATTCCTTTGCTCCTTATTAAAGTCACTAGAAGCAGAGTGTGATGCCCTGTGTGGAGATCATCCCTTCAAGGCAGCACTCAGGAGAAGGATGGCAAGATTCACTCAGGGCTGTGTGTTCAGGAAATGACTCGTCTCTGCCAGAGCTGCCTGGTCTCCTGAGAACCCTCTGATGGGTATTTCCATTTAGCATCATCAAAAATTAAAAATCTTAAAGACCCCTACACTTGAAAAATCAAATAAGTGTCACTTTGCAAGATAATGCCCTGCTCTGCCAGCTGCACTTTGGAATCTGCCAGGTATATTGCATCAAGATATTTGAGTCACTTAAAATATTCTCTTGAAGACCTAACCCTGCATGCTTTTGATTTGGATTTTGTATGTTATGTTTTCCCCTCATCCAAGCCCATCAAGCCAAGTTTTGCTCCCACTGATGTCTGTGTATCTCCTCTGGATGGGGCCAGGCTGGTCAGGGGATGATGAGCTCTGACAGGCTGCTCCACTGCTGCTGTCTGGGCTGGGGCTGGAGGACAGTGGGAGATGGCAAGATCTCCACTGAGGCAATTACTATAATTAAGGGACAACACTGAAAGCCAAATCCCTGCTGGTTGTAAGGCAAATCATGCCACACACACACAGAAGGAGGTGTCTAAAATTGCTGAGTGGGGAGGATGCTACGAGTGGGGTACTGGGGTTCACCTTGGTGTTGTCAGCAAGAACAAAAACCATTCCTTCTGTTTGCACTGGCTAATGGGAAGCCTCTCGTTTAACAGATGGAAAACAAAACTGATTACACCCTGTGCGAGTGCAGGTTGTAAGACAAGCATGCTTAACAGGGATTCAAACTCTTAAAGGATCAAGGAACGGCCGTGACCAAGTGCCCTTCCTTTTCACCAGGGGGATTCCAGCCCATTAACTCAGATTAGGTGAGGGCTGAAGTGAATTTGTTGCTTTTATCCTTGTCCAACTGTGCAAATGGCTCCGAGTGACTACGTACCTCCACTCCTGAATACACAAAATATGTTCTTCAAAAAAATAGCTTGATTTTCTTGAGTAGGGGATTCTGCAGCACACACAAGGGATGGCTGAAGCCCACCTGACCTGAGGAGTGAGCTCCAGGTGCTGCTGTGAGCACCACCTCGATGAGTTTCTCATAGGAATCACCCTTTGGAGCTGCAGGAGACAAGTGCCAGCCCTCGTGAGAGCTTTGTTTAAGAAGAAGTGCTTCCAGCAGGCCAAATCTGAGTATTTTCCAGTGTCACAGATGGCAAACTTTTCACCCTGCCATGCTGTTCTGGGCAATTAAATCAAACCCAGCCCAACAGGCAGCAAACCCCCGGGGTGCTCCTGGCAAACACAAGGACTGGCTGCAACCAAAGGGAAACTCAGCTCTGCTCGACAGCTCTCTA